GCATGGATGGCTTCCTGTGCCAGTGGCACGTTGCCGAAATCAATGGGAACAAGCGATCCGTATATGCTTATCCCTTGACTCGCAAATTAGCCACCAGCACCGGATCCAGCGAAACCCAGTAAAACCGATGATAGACAGGCGAGGCATACGAGGAGTTGTTCAACCAGCTTCTTATCCTGATCAACGATTACCCGGGCGCGTGGGCACCCTGGGAGTCAGACGAGAAAAAGGAGCTCCTTCACCCCACAATAGTGAAGGAAACCAAGGACGCACATGCTGTCACATGGGTTGTCTACGAACAGTTCCTGCTCCAAATCAACGACACCGCAGGTGATGACGACACAACGAGGTTACGCCTCATTGCTGAGCGCAATATACTGAGCTCTCATCGCGTCGGTCCTCGCATTGACAACTCGGATACCATTATGGCATGCAAAGGTGTCTACACACAGAATGCCTTGGATCGCATCGCCATGGGGCTCCCGGCCGACGCTCCAGTCACTGTCATCGTCGATGAGCCCGCCGCAGCGCCACCCGATGGCTCTGCGACAGCTGGGACACACCAGCACAGTGAGGACAGGCAGCCCCTGCCGCCAGGCCCGCTCACGATCGACACGCCGCCTGAGCCACTGCCGCCAGGCCCGCTCCCGATCGTCGCGCCACCTGAGCCATTGCCACCAGGTCCGCTTCCGATTAGGATGCCTGCTGAGCCATTGCCACCAGGCCCGCTCCCGACCGCCGCGTCAGCCCCGCTCCCGGGCGAGGGGCGCTGACGTGGGCGCGGGGCTGGAAGCAACTCCTGCTGACGATGCGCCTTCGCCTGGTCAGCAATCGGATGCGGTGTATATCCAGTCGCGGCAAGACTGCTGCGAGCGATCATACCATGAGGACACAAGCCAAACCCCTACATTTGACAATGCATGCACTCCTCGTGAGTACAAAGCTGCAAGCAGGTCAGGCGGATGATCATCCATATGCGCCGCCTCCGTTGCGGGGCACGAACGCACCAAATGCCATGGATTGCTTGAAGAACGATGATTGGGCATGCCAATTGGCATACGACGACTGCGTGATTACCCACGCGCCAGATATTGCCCAATCTGGCTGTTTCCCAGAGTGGAAATGGATGTCACTACCGCCATACGACCAGACTCGTTATGGTCCAGTGCTGCTGACGGATGAATGGCTTGGTTGTCCTACATACATGAGCAAGGATATCGCGACCATGCTCCGCCATGCAAGCCTTTTCATATTGACCAATTTCCTAACCGACGGGTCAACATATGGTCAACGAAGGCACAGCAGACCTGGACGATTCCCAGCCGATGGAAATCCTTCCAGGAAATGGTTCAATGGAAATTCGCAGAGCGACGTGGCCACTCCCACGGACCATCCACTGAGGCGGCCGTGACACACTTTCACAAAGACGGCGGGACAGCAGGATGCGAGAGCTGGAACGATTACTACCCGATCTTCATCCTCCGCGCGTTCCAGAAACACATCGACCCGGAAAAGAACAGGATCGAAGCGTACGCCAAATCAATTCTTGCCGAGGGCGACCCCAGTTGCTTCGATTGGAGCAGCGTCATTGCTTTCCGATGTGTTGGGGGACACAGTTGCGCCAATCCGCTCTCCAAGCCTTGGAATATGGGCTGGGAGAGCTTACAATGGACAGACGTCAAATACCTCCACCACGGCACGACACTTTGTGCCTGGAGAAGCATCCTCAAGACAGGGATTATTCCTTGCTGCGCCGACCAGTCCCAGAGAGACAAACGACAGAAAGGATCGCAACGTTCGGAGGCATTCTACAGTTCAAGCACCTACGTGCATATCTCCAAACAGAATCTTCACACCTCAGTTCATACGTACAAGTTCAAGCACTACAAGAATGAGGTGGAGCTCGTGATCGAGATGCAGATTGCCATGAAGGCTGGATGCAGCTTTTGGCTCGGAGTGCAGGGCGCTATCATGACTGAGGACGTGGCTCCAGCTGCCGCAATCTTCGCCATTCGCCGTATCACACCATACCGCGAGGCAGGCAAGCAGTTGTGGCCAGAAGTGGGCCCCAGCTGGGACTATCCGCCGCTGGCTCCGAGACAACCATTGAGCAAATACGAGATTTGCGCTATTCCTCCTGGAACGGACACAATCACCGATCCTCCTTGGATTGCCCCAGCTGCAAAGGCCTACGCCACGGCTCAGCAGCCGCGGACACATTCCGCCTCAGCATCATCGGCCCAGCAACCTATCGCCCCTCCGCTGGGGGCGACCCCTGCTGGCCATACTGCTGACGCTGGCGCCTTAGATGAGGCCATCGTCCGTGACATGGTCCGCAGTTGCGAGTACAACGCAGGATAAAGAGCGGTTGATCGCTATGTCACATTGCAGAGAGGCTTTTCGACCCACTACAGCAAAGATTACACAGAAAGAAAGGGATCGACGGTCTATCTTCAATGACGCCCGCATGGCGGATTTCATTATCGTCAAAAAATGGTGTTCCATCAATTGCTACCACTACGACAAGCACTACCCCAAGGGCATCTACAACACGAAAGTCCGCATGACCAAGGGCCATATTTATGGACGAATCATACACTTCGGAGTCTTCGAGAAGTTCTTCTCAGTTCAAATACCTATCCTCAACTACGGTCTACGATGGGTAAACATATGGTACTGCGACAAAAAATTGCCCCTCAAGGGCGTCATCTTCGCTTTGCCAGTACGCGCTGACATCGACCCCGTTCATCTGAATATTGCACTCCAGGGCCCTTCTTCATGCAGTGATCAGATCAACGATTTTAAGCATACAGGTGCTCTACCATATCTTGGAATGCCGAGCATTTACAAACCACGCATCCCACGTACGCCGACCAGACGCCCCGCTCCTCGGACACCCGACCCCGACGAGCTAGTGGCGACACCTGCTGAGGACTACGGCGGGCGACGAGGGATTCCAACATGACGCAGGTCAATCCACCGACGCCCTGGTCACTGTCATCATCGACACATCGACCAGACCACTCACAGTCGAGGAGAGGGCAGCCAATGATACCATGAGGGCGGATATATCGGCGGAGATTCACGCCGATGAGAACGTCGGATCTTCCATCCTGGACAGCATCATTGATCCGCCAGACGATTTCTTCAACCATCCCGACTACGACCCAGAAGATCATACTACATGGATTCTATATTCTCACGACCACCGAGTATATCGCTGGACATCGGAACCACTGGTAGACTCACCAATGATAAAGGTGAGACAAATTATCGAGCTACACACTGGCAGGACCAACCTTGTGGTGGACAAATTAGAGTCATGCTTGCGATTTGAGATACAATTCGGGACCAAAACGGACGCATACCAGATGGATTACGATCACACCCATAGATGGGCACGCGACTTACCAATATGCAGCGCAGATCATTTCTTCACAAAGATGGTGCGTTTCCTTGACCCAGAGGTCATTGAGGAGTCAACCACGGGCATGTTTCAATGGATTTCCAAAGTGTACCAAATTATATTATTGTTGGACAGCATCAAGGAGCTGCATCAGTTCACCAACGCTGCCATCAATCAGAATCATCCTGCCCTCAGTACGTTGCGTGCTTTCTTCACAGAGTGCATAAAGACACATGGAAACCCAGGCTTCCCCGCATGGAAGGAGCCGGTGGAGACACCTGCCGCGCCTGACCAAGACGACCCAGGCGCCAAGCAGGATATTCCCCGGGACCCAGGTAGCGTTGCCTCGGCAGCTCCTGATCAAGAGACCATGGTACAGGTCCTAGCCGAGATGCAGAACATCGACCGCGAGGTGGGCGATAACGAGGCCACCCTGCAGGCAGAGGCTGCCCGCATTCGTGCGGACAAGGACGCACTGCATGGCGAAATGGACCCCGCGGACGTCGACACCTCTGGGTGCGCAGGGCTACCGGGGGAAAGCCTGTCGATGATCGAGATCGAGGGGATCGGCCGATCGATCGCTTCCCGTGCAACCGCTGAACTCAATCGTGAGGCAATGAACCAGATTGGTCATTCCCTCGCGTCGACTGACGGTGGCGCCACCCGCTGGGGCTCTCTCAGGGACCTCGCCACTTCCGGGGCTCCCGAAGCGACCCAGCATGATATATCGCGATGTTGCGATCGCCTCCTATCCTTGGGCATCGTCACGAGTGATGGGACTCTTTGCGATATCTGTTGGCAGTACAGTGTCTCTGTAGGTGCCACAGGCAAAGGTGGCGCCGAGGAGAGCGACCTGGCGTACCTCCAGCATCTGAACTACTGGATCAAGACCAACCTCTCCGAGGACGACGTAAACCGGCACATGTCAGATGGAGCGCGCGTCTACATGACAGGCAGACGATCCAAGGCTGGCCAGGAGAAAGATATCTTGAGGAAACATGCGAAAAAGGCAGGGGAGAGGTATCAGAAGTGGCTTGACGCAGGCTCCCCTCCTGCAAACATGTGCAGGATGATGGGCGAGACTGAGGATCAGCGACCTCTGTACCACCCCTACCGCAATGTCGTACAACGTTTCCTCAATGATCCACGTTTCCGCCGCCGGATGACTGCCGCTCGTGTTGAGACTGGCAGGCAAGCCTGGACCATCGATGACATGCGCGACGCGTGCGACATCCATGACCGCAGCGTTAGGCTCGGCTTCGCTGGTCGCAGGAACTGGTGGTTGAACGAGGGAAGTCTCGACAGAGGCACCAGGCAAGAGCGTGGCCTCGTCGCAATTGCTTTGCCCCGTGGGGACGGCACTTGTGAAAAAGGTGACGCAGCGTAAGCTTGCCAAACTCGCCTCCGCCGAACCTGCGATGGGATCTGCCGATTCAAGGGGGGTGAGTGCAGGGGTTAGAACCGATCCTAACAACCCCCACGCACACAATTCTCACACGCACATGGCGCCATGGAGCCGCAGCAGCCGCGGCGTCCGCCGCCGCCTCGCGCAGCCCATGGCGACGCCGCTGGACCCCGCCGTTCTGGCGCGCAGGCGGGCACGCCCGCTGGGCCGAGCGGCGCGGCCGCCGCGCAGCGGCAGAGCTGCGACGCCAGCCGCAGACCCACAACGCCTCCGCGTGCCACGCGGGCGCGTACGACAGAGGACTACGCAGCGCGATGTCGCCGCAACCTTGAGGACAGCCCATGGGGCCCCAGGTACTCGAGCTACTACGCCAAGTGCTGGATGCACATCGCGGACAACAACGACGAGTTCGTGTACGTCCGCGACCTGCTGCACAACGAGCGGTTCCGCAACTGGACCCCAAGGACGCCTTGGGAGACATTCAAGACGAGCTACGTCGATAACGATGGCCACAGGGTGTGGGACCGCACGTTCTACATGAGAGGCACTTCGTAGTTTTGTTGGCCGCAAGGCCCACTGCTCGATTGGCTTGAACTTCATCTTTCCAAAAGTTCGCCTCCAGCAGTGATTACTAATATAATATGTGGCCACTTCACTGTACAAGACAAGTGGCCACCCACCCATAACTTGTGAAACCCAAGGCAGACTCCTAAGGAGCATCGCCGAGGGGAGTAAACAATTTCAGAATTTGTTAATGCAGTTTTTCGTGCTTATCAACGCGACTCTACGCCTGGCCAGACATTTGCTTTGATGATTGAACGTGTTTCTTAGAGCGATCGTGTTCCTCAACACGAGTATGTTTGCTCACCTTTTACACTGCAATTTGAGATTACATTGCGTTGAGAATGATATGATGCCCAGCTTTGGTTTGCAAGCTGGTGGCGACACCTGCCGCGTGCAGACGCGGCAGCTTCTGATGTTGCTTCAATTTGCTCAGATCCTCTTGCTCCGCCCACCCGTGTCTCGTTCTTCTCCGCCCTCGAGTGCCGAAGCGTTTTTGGGGGGCGCACCGAGGGGGGGCCAAAGTGTGCTTGGCGAAGAAACAGGGACCCGGGGTGTTCTCTCGTTCCCGTACTTGCCTGATCATGACAGCTGTTGTGCTACGCTTCTTCTTGCGCACCGCTGTCGTGATCGGGGCGCAGCTGACGCGGTGCAGATTTTACGCTCAGCTGCCTTGCAGTGCTGAGGATTTGGGGAGTAAAAGGGTGACAGGTTCTTTTCTCCTTTTCCCGAGACCTGCCCTTGCGGGCGGGATTCGGGACGGGGTGTGTGAATCGAACCCGTGTAATACCCGCATATACACTCCTTATCCTCACTCTCCTGCGCCTGGCCGTTTGGGCTCAGGTATTGGAATAGATCGATCAGACCTTTGATCGTGCAGGAGGAGAAGATATCCATCTTTCCCTCCTTTCCTCTACCAGCGGATCAGGGGTTCTGTACCTTTGTACTCCAACCCCGTGCATCAGACCTCGGTGTTTGGGGGGGGGGGGCAAAACGAAATCACATGTTGATTTTCGTAAGCATTCTGCGATGTGGAAGCCGTTTCTAGCCAGGTCCAGCATCAGCAAGTAGGCGTGCATGTTGCCGTTCAGGTCGGGCACGCAGGCGATGTCCATACCAAGGCATTGGTTGAACTTGGTCCACTTCGGTAAGCTTGCGATTGGATGCGCTAGCGGTCGCTACTGAGAGTCGCACAGCTCGCACTTGAATAGCTTCGCCGCCGAAGCCGCCGCCGGTGATCCACCGCCTGCTTGAATATGTCGGGCCAGATCTTTCGTAGTGCATGTGAAAACTGAACGTGTAACTTCTTGATCGCCGCCTTGAGTGCTGCTGGTACTTGCTGCCATTGTTGGTAGGTCCCCGCGTCTGAGCCCATGATGAGGCCTGAGCTTGACGTGAAGCCTGTAGCGGGGCATGCGTCAGTGGCGTTTGGAACTCCTAGGATGATGTCGCTACCCAGAAGCTTCTCCAACTCGTACTGCTGCTTCGTGCCCTCGAGGATCCTTTCTGCCATGTCCAGGGTCCAGACCGCAAAATCACGAGACTTGCCGCCTCGGCCTTGAACTTCACCATGTCCGTGATCTCTTGTACACCGAACCTCCAGTGCATATGCCAATGCCACTGCTGTCGTCACAAACCCCGTTGGCTTTTGAAGCGCATTTCCACGATCATCTCGTAGATCGAAAGCACATTGATCGCACCGAACCCATATCAACTCCAGTGGGAGCTCGTCCTTGATGAGGTTCCACACTTGAGAGCACAGAGGTTTCTCCAGCAGAACATGTGGCCCATGTGCCAGTCGGTGCTTGACGATCTGTAGGGCAAATCGCACTTGTGCGAGTGCTTTCGCGCGGCGTCTGCGCCGCTCCTTCTCCGGGTAGAAGTTGTTAATGGACGAGAGGCCGTCGCACGGGAAGGGCGCGATCGTGAGGTGCGGGCCCTCCTCCTCGATCTCTCGCGTCGTAGCTGCTTGAACGCTTGGCAGTAGCAAGTCGTTGCCTGTGGTGCGTAAGTCCTTGCACTTGCCAGTCTTGCGCCCGCAGCTGTCCGCGAGCTTCGTGGCATTGCGCTCCCCGCCGTACATCTTCATCACCGCCGTCCCAGGAACAAACGGCCGATGTTGATCCTTGCTTAGTACGCTCCAGGTGTCCCGCTGCTCTCGCGCATGATCTGCGATCCAGGCGTCCACCTGCATCTTCCGGGACTTGGTCATGATGCGGGTGTCGTCCACCGTGATCGTGATCTTCTCGATGGCTGCCGTCACATACTGCGACTTATCCTCCTCCTCGGCCGTCCATGCGTCCAGCGGCTTCGTGCTGATCGTCGGTGCCTCGATCTGCGGTGGTTCCTTCGGGAAATCGGTGATGTTGATCATCAGGTGGTTCTTCCGCGAGCGCGTGATCTTCACGGGCTGGTCGGATATCTTCTGGAATATAACCTGGTTGCTCTGCGCCTTGATGATTGCATCGAGGGCGTCCATCTGATACAAACTCATGAGCATGGGAGCGTCCGAGTCTGGTAGCCTCTCGAAGTTGAGCGTGCAGTCTCGTCCCTGGATGCCGCTCGGCACTGCCTGTGTACTTTCGGTTTTGATGGGCGCCGAAGCGTTGATGCCCTTGAAGATCGTCTGAGTGGGCGTCTGGATGTCAGCCAGATCGAACTTCTCAAGATGGCTGTCGATCGCTCGATCTCCGCCGCACGGTGCCAAGGTTGCCGTGTCTAAGACGATGTAGCCAGGAGGTGCCACCTGATCTGCCGCCATCGTGTCGATCATCTCCTCGTTGAGCTGGTTGATCGGGTTGATGGCCTCGTCGGTGTGGTTCTGCGTCGGCTCGATCATGTAGACCTCGGTGGGTCTGCCGACTCCTGTCGCCAGCATGGCTGCAGCCAGCCCGGCGCGTGCCAGAAAACCCCCAGCGCGTCCACCTTTGCCTCGTCCAGCTGCTGCCGCTCAAGCCTTAGGCCCGGTGGCCTTCTTAGTTTTGCTGCACTCTGGGTCTCCAGCCTAGTGTCCTCCTTCGCCGCGCGCTCCACACTTGCTTACCTTCTGGAAAGCCCCCAGCTTATCCTGGAGCTCCTTCGAGCCGAAGCTGATCTCCCTGTCGAAGTCGATGTTGGTTTTGCCCAGCCGAAACCCACGATTCGTTTTGCCGCCCTTCATGAATTGGCGTTGCCGGGGGCAGTTGGAGCCCGTAGAGCTCGCATTGCCTTTTCCACGTCCACGTCCTTTTGCCGCGATAGCTCCACCAAGCCTTTGAGCCTCCGTCGCGAACGCCTGCACCTCTTCCTCGCTGAGGTCGTTGACGTCCACGATGGCCATGGCCCGCTCGAGCTCCTCCACTTCGGCGGACAAAACTTCCATCTCCTCTCCGTCCTCGTCTCCACCACTATCTTCTTCTCCCTCAGGGTCGCCCTCGTCACCTTCGTCGTCCTCGGGGTCCGCGGGGAAGGCTGAGTTCCACCTGAACTTGCGCCCTCCATCTCGTCGTCCACCGTGTTGTCGCTGCTGCGATCCACGAGCATCGATGCCGTCGAGGTGAATCTCGAGCACCTCTCAAATCGCGTCCCAATCGTACTCGTTCTGGGCCTGGCCCAGGAACGTTTTGTGCTGGGTCTCGGTGATGCCGCACATGTCCAGCAAGAAAACGTCCGCAAATATTCTGAAACCTGCGCGCTGCCGCCGGTCAAATATTTCAGTTTCTCGTAGGAGCCCGTCTTCCTTTGAATGAAATCCTTTTATCGGCTCGTTGGGTCGACGATGTCCGAGCTTGAAATAATCCAGAAAAGCCTTGTGCTTCTGCAATGGCGCCACCTTCTCGCAGTGTGAACGCACACGCTTTATCAAGATGTCTAGAGCTTCTTCTGTCGCTGCCTCTTTCTCTGCTTGCGTCTCGCTTTTCTTGAAAAGCTTACTGAAAGCTGCCACCGAAGTCTTCGGGTCTTTGTGACTTCGCGTCCACGCCCGGTCCGTCAAACTGTTCTTGACCTTCGCGATGAAAATATTTCTTCTCTGCCGCTTCTGCGCCTAAAAATCCAAGCCGAACTCGTTCGTCCCATTCTTCTGCCGACGCTGCGTCTCCATCATAACAAGGAATGCCGTCTTTATCGAGCCGCACGTGCCTATTTTTGCGCTTGTCCGAAACCTGCGACATTTTGCCGAACGGGTCGTCGCAAGTGGTGAACTTGAAGGGGTCGGTGAACTCGGTGAAGTTGGTGAACTTTATGAGGTGGTGGTCAGAGAACGAGTTCTCAAACAAATATGAAGTGCCTGACTGCCAAGAGCAGTTCTTTTGGATATGAAAGAGCGTTAAGAAACTGCACCAATGAACTAGCATTGGCCGTCTCGAAACACAAGTTCCGCACTACCAGTGTCAATGATAATGATTGTCGAGCCTTTTCGGTCGATCGTATATGAAACGGCGCGTCCAGCACCGCGCGCGCAGCTTGCTGAAATCAGGGAAACCCCAGTCGCAGACTGGAACACATCTGATAACTTGTTATCGCTGTCTGGCTCAAAAAGTGGATCCCCTGATATCGTTTGAGTGAACAAACGGCCGCGGCAAAACATAACGTGTTATGTTATGTGTTTTAAAAGTCCTGGAGCCCTGGTCGGGGCAACGATCTCTTAGCTGCTGATATATTGCGTTTCGGGCTGTCCCAAAACCTCTCATCTTCGCACTTGGGGGCCTCTTGGGGCCCTCTTGGGAGCCTCTCTGAGCCCTCTTGGGGCCCTCTTGGGCCGTCTTGTGGCCCTCTTGGGCCGTTTTGGGCTCCTCTGGGTCCGTCTTGGGGCCCTCTTGGGCCGTTTTGGGGCCCTCTGGGGGCCTCTTGGGCCGTCTTGGGGCGATTTTTGGAGCCTCTTGGGCCGTTTTGGGCCGTTCTTGGCCCGAAAGGGCGAGAACCCGAAAAACTGTCAAAAGCCAGTTAATTATCCCGGCAAAGCAACCTAACAGCGATGTGTAGGAGCATATCTGGAAGCATTCCCCTTAATATTCATATGAGAATCCAGTTGTAGAATTCTGCTGTTCTCGCAGTCGCAGTCGCATTCGCGATGCAAGTCGCAGTGGCAACGGCAGTCGCAGTCGCAGTCACAGCCTCAGCCTCAGCCTGCCTCAGCCTCAGCCTCAGCCTGCCTCAGCCTCAGCCTCGGCCTGCCTCAGCATTCAAAATGTGGCCCGGGAATGGAGTTCTGGGAACTCCAAGAACACGAAGTGGCCTGCAGTTGGCTCCGGGCATTCAAGTTCTGGGAGCGCCAAGAGCGATTTTGCGAGGATGTCCCAGGCGATTTGGGCTCCGACGGCCGCCGCCGGATTCTGTCCGGGTTTCGCCCAGACCCCCTTGAGGAGTCATGATGCTCTCTTTTGACCCTACTAGAAACCTATCAGTCTTCGCTGTTAGGTAAACATCAATAGAATCTGCCTCTTCGAGCTGTCTTGGGGAGCCTCTTGGTTATGGCCTCGGGGCGCCCAAGGTGGGCCCAAAGAGGGCCCCAAGCAACCCGAGGTCACTCGATGCTGGGCGAACTGGAATCCAAGTCGCCACTGTCGGTGCCTTCGCCGGGTCCCGGGGATGGCCTCCTATCGCCCTGGGATGGTCCCAAGGGGGCCCTGCCAGCGGAGGCCAAGATCGCAGAATACACGGCGAACTAAAGTGAAGTCACCCCTTTCGAACTGAAGTGGAGCCACCTCTTTCGACGACGACTACGGCGGCGGCGGCGACTGCGACGGCGGCGGGCCCTGCGGCTCCGAACCAACATGTTCAGCAATAAACGCTGCCAGACCCACTAGTTCAGCAGTTCGCGCTGGGTAACGAACACCGCCGCGGACGACGACGACGACGACGGCGGCGGCGGCGGCGACGGCGACGGCGGCGGCGGGTTCGAAGGCCCAGGGCCCCGCCCTGGGGTTCCGAACCCCAGAGTTCAGCAGTTCGCGCTCAACTGCTGAACTTCAGGGCTCGGGACCCCGGAGCCCCGCCGCCGCTGACAACGGCGGCGGCGGCGGCGGGGCCTCGGGGTTCCGAACCCCAAAGTTCAGCAGTTCAGCGTGAACTGCTGAACTTCGGGGTTCGGAACCCCAGGGCCCCGCCGCCGCGGACGACGACGACGACGACGACGACGACGACGGCGGCGACGGCGGCGGGGCCTCGGGGTTCCGAGCCCCGAAGTTCAGCATTTCTCAGGGCCCTGCCGCCGCGGACGACGACAACGACGACGACGGCGGCGGCGGCGGGGGGTTCCGAACCCCGAGTTCAGCAGTTCAGCGCGAACTGCTGAACTTCGGAGTTCGGAACCCCAGGGCCCGCCGCCGTGGACGACGACGACGACGGCGGCGGCGGCGGGTTCCGAACCCCGGAGTTCAGCAGTTCAGCGTGAACTGCTGAACTTCGGGGTTCGGAACCCCAGGGCCGCGCCTCCGCGGACGACGACGACGACGACGACGACGACGGCGGGGCCTCGGGGTTCCGAACCCCGGAGTTCAGCAGTTCAGCGTGAACTGCTGAACTCCGGGGTTCGGAACCCCAGGGCCGCGCCGCCGCGGACGACGACGACAGCGACGACGACGGCAGCGGCGGCGGCAAGGGGGTTCCGAACCCCGAAGTTCAGCAGTTCAGCGTGAACCCGCCGCCGCCGCCGTTCTTGGCAGTTTCTTAACGCTCTTTCATATCCAAAAGAACTGTTCTTGGCAGTCAGGCGCTTCATATTTGTTTGAGAACTCGTTCTCTGACCGCCACCTCATAAAGTTCACCAACTTCACCGAGTTCACCGACCCCTTCAAGTTCACCACTTGCGACGACCCGTTCGGCAAAATGTCGCACGTTTCGGACAAGCGCAAAAATAGGCACGTGCGGCTCGATAAAGACGGCATTCCTTGTTATGATGGAGACGCAGCGTCGGCAGAAGAATGAGACGAACGAGTTCGGCTTGGATTTTTAGGCGCAGAAGCGGCAGAGAAGAAATATTTTCATCGCGAAGGTCAAGAACAGTTTGACGGACCGGGCGTGGACGCGAAGTCACAAAGACCCGAAGACTTCGGTGGCAGCTTTCAGTAAGCTTTTCAAGAAAAGCGAGACGCAAGCAGAGAAAGAGGCAGCGACAGAAGAAGCTCTAGACATCTTGATAAAGCGTGTGCGTTCACACTGCGAGAAGGTGGCGCCATTGCAGAAGCACAAGGCTTTTCTGGATTATTTCAAGCTCGGACATCGTCGGCCCAACGAGCCGATAAAAGGATTTCATTCAAAGGAAGACGGGCTCCTACGAGAAACTGAAATATTTGACCGGCGGCAGCGCGCAGGTTTCAGAAGATTTGCGGACGTTTTTCTTGCTGGACATGTGCGGCATCACCGAGACCCAGCACAAAACGTTCCTGGGCCAGGCCCAGAACGAGTACGATTGGGACGCGATTTGAGAGGTGCTCTAGATTCACCTCGACGGCATCGATGCTCGTGGATCGCAGCAGCGACAACACGGTGGACGACGAGATGGAGGGCGCAAGTTCAGGTGGAACTCAGCCTTCCCCGCGGACCCCGAGGACGACGAAGGTGACGAGGGCGACCCTGAGGGAGAAGAAGATAGTGGTGGAGACGAGGACGGAGAGGAGATGGAAGTTTTGTCCGCCGAAGTGGAGGAGCTCGAGCGGGCCATGGCCATCGTGGACGTCAACGACCTCAGCGAGGAAGAGGTGCAGGCGTTCGCGACGGAGGCTCACAGGCTTGGTGGAGCTATCGCGGCAAAAGGACGTGGACGTGGAAAAGGCAATGCGAGCTCTACGGGCTCCAACTGCCCCCGGCAACGCCAATTCATGAAGGACGGCAAAACGAATCGTGGGTTTCGGCTGGGCAAAACCTACATCGACTTCGACAGGAAGATCAGCTTCGGCTCGAAGGAGCTCCAGGATAAGCTGGGGGCTTTCCAGAAGGTAAGCAAGTGTGGGGCGCGCGGCGAAGGAGGACACTAGGCTGGAGACCCAGAGTGCAGCAAAACCAAGAAGGCCACCGGGCCTAAGGCTTGAGCGGCAGCAGCTGGACGAGGCAAAGGTGGACGCGCTGGAGGTTTTCTGGCACGCGCCGGGCTGGCTGCAGCCACGCTGGCGACAGGAGTCGGCAGACCCACCGAGGTCTACATGATCGAGCCGACGCATAACCACACCGACGAGGCCATCAACCCGATCAACCAGCTCAACGAGGAGATGATCGACACGATGGCGGCAGATCAGGTGGTACCTCCTGGCTACATCGTCTTGGACACGGCAACCTTGGCACCGTGCGGCGGAGATCGAGCGATCGACAGCCATCTTGAGAAGTTCGATCTGGCTGACATCCAGACGCCCACTCAGACGATCTTCAAGGGCATCAACGCTTCGGCGCCCATCAAAACCGAAAGTACACAGGCAGTGCCGAGCGGCATCCAGGGAAAAGACTGCACGCTCAACTTCGAGAGGCTACCAGACTCGGACGCTCCCATGCTCATGAGTTTGGATCAGATGGACGCCCTCGATGCAGTCATCAAGGTGAAGAGCAACCAGGTTATATTCCAGAAGATATCCGACCAGCCCGTGAAGATCACGCGCTCGCGGAAGAACCACCTGATGATCAACATCACCGATTTCCCGAAGGAACCACCGCAGATCGAGGCACCGACGATCAGCACGAAGCCGCTGGACGTATGGACGGCCGAGGAGGAGAATAAGTCGCAGTATGTGACGGCAGCCATCGAGAAGATCACGACCACGGTGGACGACACCCGCATCATGACCAAGCCCCGGAAGATGCAGGTGGACGCCTGGATCGCAGATCATGCGCGAGAGCAGCGGGCGACCTGGAGCGTACTACGCAAGGATCAACATCGGCCGTTTGTTCCTGGGACGGTGGTGAAGGAGATGTACGGCGGAGAGCGCAATGTCACGAAGCTCGCGGACAGCTGTGAGCGCAAGACTGGCAAGTGCAAGGACTTACGCACCACAGGCAACGACTTGCTACTGCCAAGCGTTCAAGCAGCTACGACGCGAGAGATCGGGGAGGAGGGCCCGTACCTCACGATCGCGCCCTTCCCGTGTGACGGCTTCTCGTCCATTGACAACTTCTACCCGGAGAAGGAGCGGCGCAGACGCCGCGCGAAAGCACTCGCACAAGTGCGATTTGCCCTACAGATCGTCAAGCACCGACTGGCACATGGGCCACATGCTCTGCTGGAGAAACCTCTGTGCTCTCAAGTGTGGAACCTCATCAAGGACGAGCTCCCACTGGAGTTGATATGGGCTCGGTGCGATCAATGTGCTTTCGATCTACGAGATGATCGTGGAAATGCGCTTCAAAAGCCAACGGGGTTTGTGACGGCAGCAGTGGCATTGGCATATGCACTGGAGGTTCGGTGTACAAGAGGTCACGGACATGGTGAAGTTCAAGGCCGAGGCGGCAAGTCTCGTGATTTTGCGCCGCCGCGGACGACGACAACAGCGACGACGACGGCGGCGGCGGCGGCGAGGGGGTTCCGAACCCCGAAGTCCAGCAGTTCAGCGTGAACTGCTGAACTTCGGGGTTCGGAACCCCCGGGCCGCGCCGCCGCGGACGACAAAGACGACGACGGCGGAGTGAACTGCTGAACTTCGGGGTTCCGACTCTCGGAACCCCGAAGTTCAGGTTTTTTTGGCCCCGGGGGGGGCGCCAGCGGCGGCGGGGGCCTGGGGTTCCGAACCCCGAAGTTCAGCAGTTCAGCGTGAACTGCTGAACTCCGGGGTTCGGAACCCCGAGGCCCCGCCGCCGCCGTCGTCGTCGTCGTCGTCCGCCGATGTGGCTTTGGCTGGCCCCCAATAGCTCCAGATCCCCACGGGATCGAGCGAACTGGATTCCAGTTCGCCCTGAAATGGCTCCATATCCCCCCGAAATCGGCTCCATATCCCCCCGAGATCGGGCGAACTGGATTCCAGTTCGCTTCAAAATGGCACCCGATCCCCCCGAGATCGGGCGAACTGGATTCCAGTTCGCACCGAAAGGGCCCCAGATCCCTCCGAGACCGGGCGAACTGGATTCCAGTTCGCCCCGAAGTGGCCCCATGCCCCCCCGAGATCGGGCGAACTGGATTCCAGGCCGCCTCAAAATCGCTCCATATCCCCCCGAGATCAGCCCCATATCCCCCCGAGATCGAGCGAACTGGATTCCAGTTCGCCTCAAAATGGCCCCCGATCCCCCCGAGATCGGGCGAACTGGATTCCAGTTCCCACCGAAAGGGCCCCAAATCCCTCCGAGACAGGGCGAACTGGATTACAGTTCACCCCGAAGTGGCCCCATATCCCCCCGAGATCGGGCGAACTGGAATCCAATTCGCACCAAAATTGCCTAGGACCCCCCCGAGATCGGGCGAACTGGATTCCAGTTTGCTCCACAATGGCTGCACCCCCCCCCCGAGATCGGGCAAACTGGATCCCAGTCCGCCCATCAAAGGCCCTATCCCTCCCGTGATCGGGCGAACTGGATTCCAGTTCGCCCCGAAATGGCGAAGCACCCCCCCAAGATCGGACGAACCGGAATCCAGTTCGCACCGAAGGGGCCCCAGATCCCCCCGAGATCGGGCGAACTGGATTCCAGTTCGCCTCAAAATGGTTCCAACATGGGTCCATGCCCCCTCCGAGATCGGGCGAACTGGATTCCAGCTCGCTCCGCAATGGCCATATATCCCGAAATCGGGCGAACTGGATTCCAGTTCGCCCCGAAATGGCGAAACACCCTCCCAAGATCGGGCGAACTGACCGGGTGAACTTTTTTCCAGTTCGCTCCGCAATGGCTGCATACCCCCCCGAGATCGGGCGAAATGGATTCCAGTTCGCTCCGCAATGGCTCTAGCCGGGAATGGCAAAGCACCCCCCCCAAGACCGGGCGAACTGGAGTCCAGTTCGCACCGAAAGAGCCCCAGATCCCCCCGAGGTCGGGCGAACTGGATTCCAGTTCGCCTCAAAATGGCTCCAACATGGGTCCATGCCCCCTCGAGACCAGGCGAACTGGATTCCAGTTCGCTCCGCAATGGCTCTATATCCCGAGATCGGGCGAACTGGATTCCAGTTCGCCCCGAAATGGCGAAACACCTCTCCAAGATCGGGCGAACTGATCGGGCGAACTGGATTCCAGTTCGCGCCGAAGTGGCCCCAGATTCCAGTTCGCCCCGAAATGGCCCCATACCCCCCCGAGATCGGGCGAACTGGATTCCAGTTCGCGTCAAAATGGCCCCAGATCCCCCCGATATCGGGCGAACTGGATTCCAGTTCGCAACAAAATGGCCCGAGATCGGGCGAAATCCAGTTCGCACCGAAGTGGCCCCAGACTCCCCCGAGATCGGGCGAATTGGATTCCAGTTCGTCGGTTTTGGTAACACCCACCCAACAAATGTCCACGATGTCCACAGAATTTCGGTGCGCCAGAGATGCGCCGCAAGGGGGCCCCCGCGTTGCCCAAGATCGCCCGCGGCAAGGCTGAATTGGGATCTTGATCCCATTTCGCTGGTTCTTCGGGGGATCCATGAGGGCCTCGGGGCGCCCAGGGTGGGCCCCGAAAGGGCTTCTAGTAGCCCAGGGTCGTTCGAACCCAGGTCGGCATGGTCGGGGCCTTCGCTGGGTCTTGGGCGGCATCCGAGCGTTCACGATGGGCCGTTTTCAAGGCCCGGGGCGCTCGGAAACAGACCCGGGGTGCAAAACTGCGTCGGAAGGGCCCCGGGGGAGCTCCGGGGAGCGACTTTGAGCCGATTTCGGCCCCCGTGGCCCAGACCTCCGACGTCGTATTTTTGTTTGGCCGACGTGGGCCCCCAAAGGTCTGGGCCTCTTCCCCGGACCGGTTCT